TAGAAGGAAATACATCTCTTATATATCTGCCCATATGCTTCAGGCCAGGGCACGGATATGAGCAAGCAGACCATGATGTGGGATATATCAGAGAAAATTTTATTTAGCGTATATGAGCACACTTTTGTCACATCCACAAATCAGTCATGACTCTACAAATTAAGGTTGAAAGTCTTGTTCACTTAAGCCAAAATTATTGGGAAAGGTTCTGATGTTTTGGCTATGAACTGGCACAATGGGCAGTGCAGAACAGATCACAGCTCCAGGCAAGGCTTCTGGTGTTGTCAACCCTGAAGAAAGCTGGTGGCAAACAGCTGAAAGAGGACAAGGACAAGATCCACCCCTCACCTTGGCCAATGCTGCAGGCAATGTCACTGCTGCCACCTGCCCGCACCTCCGTACAGGCTCAGCTCTGCTTCCATTGAACTCCATGGTGGGAGCAGCTGAGGAGACAGATGGAAAATGTCTCCCCTGTCTCCCCACAGGAAAAGGGCTCCCCTTAGTGCTGACAACAGTGGCACAAGTCAACCTACCAACGCCTTGTTTGGTAGGTTGCCAGCCAGGCTGTGAATAAACTTGAGGCTGAAGTCCCTTGCTCGTATAGACAGAACTTTTCTCGTCTTCCAATGGAATTGTTCCACAGCAGAACAAATCAGCAGCTGGGAATAAATAGGACAGTTGAGGCCATATGGCCAAGGGAATTGAAGTTGAGGCTGGGGGGACCATGAAGGGAGAAGACTGGTAGCTGGTCAGAACCCAACCTTCCCAATATTAACCACTGCCCCAATATCGCCCTGTCTTCCCAGTTGGCAAGAGGCACTTCTCAACCAAGCAGTTTTTGGTCTGGGGCCAAAATGCATCAGTCAGCCAATAACTGAGCGTTATAAACACAATCTACTGGACTAACTCTAGGATATATATTTTCAAAGTTCATATTTATAGTTTGCAAACTCTGTCTTTCAGATAGCAAGTCCTAGTAGCACCAGAAGCTGTTGAATATTCCAATCAAATACAAAATTAGAACAGAATTCTGTGCCACAAATACAAAGTAAAGCCATCTGCCAAATTTCTAAAATACCTCACCTAGAGATCTGGTAATTTCTCTTTTAACATGAGCATAATATACAGCCTGCCCCTAAAGAAGCAACCTCTGCTATATTTAGCAGATTTTATAGTAAATCCTAATCACTGAAAGCCTATTTTTATGTTAGGTGTAGATTTAAAGATGACAACCATTCCAAAGTGTCCAAACAAAGGACAACATTTTTCTATTATTTATTAGTTCATTTTAGGTCACTGGAGGACTTCCAAAGACATCTTCCTTTTCTGTCTTATAAACCCTAAGAGTTAAGTAAGTATTCTCAAATAAGCACAATTTACAGTATGTCAGCTTAAAATAAAATCATAACACATTTCTAAATTGATAGAAATTGCATAGCACCAAATGAGAAATAGGGATTTTATCCTCTCATTTATACATGCTTGTCTCTCTGTCTATAAACATATGTTTGCACATACTGTGTATTGATAGATTAACATTACTTAACTCTGCATTTGCAACACTGTACTTAAAGTTGTGTCTGCATTTTTACTTCAGAGGTTTATATCTCAGCTATAAAATATTCTCTCTAAGCCGAATCTTGGCAAAGACTGACAAGCTACAAATTATTATTTTCTTTTTAGAAAAATTAGAAGGAAATGTCAAGACAATAATCCCTTCTTCTTCATAGTGTCAATAGGATGCATGGACTGATCCAGAATGCAAGTTGGTAACTCAACCAGAGCCAAGAGAACAAATTTTCACTATTATGGGCTTGGCTTGTTTTGCTGTGGGAGTGAAATTCTGCACCCCCTTAGTCACTAGCATGCTTTGCATTCTTTGTTTTTTGCAACTTAGGAGTTCCTCTGTTTTTAGCAACTGAAAACAAAACATAATTTCCTTAAACCATTTAGCAGTCATCTCTAAATGTTCATGATTAACAATAACTCTATTCCAAATTTTAGTGGAAAGTGGCAGAACTGATTCAGAAACTTGTAAGAACAACCTGGGATTTCATTTTAAGCTCTTTCTGATGACACAGAAGCAGAGAAGATGGAGTGCTAACAGACCTGATGAGATAACAACCCCTCTTCAGACAACAACTGGAGCTGATTATAGAGGAACTTTATATAAACTGTGGCAGGAAGAGAGATATAGGGCAATATACAAAGCAATAGTTCTTCAGCATATTCCACAAGTGGGCCTGTTTCTTCCCTTCTGTCCTGTATATATGATATTTATAAACCCTGGCACTGTGGCAGAGAGGATTCATCCTTTAGTATATCTACCCAAACTGCAATGGTCAATTAACTTTTATATAAGCATTTCTACCACCAGAGCTTAATTAATTCAAATGAAGTAGTATGGGATGCTGGATGAAAAGTTGATCATCATAAAGAACAACATTAAAATTTATTCTGAAGAGTTAAAAAAACCAAAACCATGAAGGATGAAGTAGCAATTTTGTGTCTCATGGGCATGGGAACACCATGTGCCAAAATATGCTACTCTTAGCTAGAGCTTCTGCAAGCAGTCTGCAACAACTGCACTTCAGTCCAAGATAGCCAATGAAATTATGTGTGAATCCTATGGGATAAATTGTAGCTCCAGGAATGTCTGAGGTGAGGAAGGCTTCTTTTCATAAGAAGCCAGTGAAAATTATTTGATTATGCAAAAGGACTTGAGATAGCTATGTGATAGACCTCATCAGCCCTCACTGGCTGAAAAAGTACTGGGGCCCGTTTAGCACCAGTTTAGGGCCCTCTAGGTCACTAACCTAAGGCAAAACTGGTAGAGGCTTGTTTAGGGTTAGAGGATTGATATCATGAGGATAGACACCTGTAGGCAACAATATCTAAAGCTACCCCACATGACCTGATTGAGCTGGAGACTCAATTTCCACAGGGCAAAATCTGCTGGCAGTCTGCATTGACTGGGCAAGAGCAGAATGCATGGAATCCTTATCAAGAAGTGAAGATCACAGAAGATCACAGGCCTTGACGTCACCTGGCTGCTGTGGAACACCTCAAACTACCCTTTATAAATAGTTGCTCTTTTCTGGTTTGCCTGCTCCCAGCTACTGAAAAAATTAATGTTATAGTGGACTGTAGAGAGCCTAAGTAAAATACTGCTCATAACTAAGTAGGAATAAGACAGGTTCTTCTATGTGACGCCAAGTATTGGTAGAACAGAATTGCTTATTTAAGTAGATAACATTTCATCGACTTCCATAAAACATTTCATTCATCTTCATTTAACATCAAACCCTCAAATAAATCTATTTATCTAATGTATTTTAATTAAGCAGAGGACAGGTGAAGAGCTTTTCTTTCAAGATCTCCAGTTGCACTCTGCTGCTCTAGTCAATGAAAGTGAAACTGTAAAACCACGCCCTCATTATTAACACTAATTTTTACTTAATTTTCATTTTTGCTCTTAGAGATTGGATTGTCATGCTATGCATACAGGACAACAGGCACTGGGAAGGAAGTAAACTTATTCATTCCAAGAGGTAGAACAGCTTTGTTTAATGGTATTTTGTGGTTTTAATACCTATCTAACAATCTTTAACTTTAGTGGTAAAAGGAGTAGGTCACTTCTCAGGATATGGGTTATCTCAAAGGCTTTCTTCTCTCCTCACTTCATGGTTACCATTCCAAGTCCTTCTGTGCAAATGGTATCAATTACTTCCACAGAAGAAAGATTCCAAAAATGCACAATTTCAGATGACAGCTGGCATTGTATCGTCAGGCATTCCTGTGTTGACCATCACTGCTCAGTGACAGTACTGCAGTTTCAGTGAAAGTGTTTTTTACTTCCAAGCTCTTTAAAAATGAACATTCCAGAACTGCAGTCTGATCTACATCTGTAAAAGATGAGGCTGGTGCAGAGAGCTGTTAATTTTAGTGCAATTTTGTATTCTAACCCCAAATGTTCATTCAATGGCATCAGTTTGTAAGACCAGGTTCTTTGACAACTGTGTAAAGAAATAAAACCAGCACCAATGAAATGTATTTCTGATGTGAAATATGGCCTGCTTTTAAAAATGGTCATCATGATCATATGATAGTTTTGAAATAAAGATTGTTTTTCCAGTTGAAACTAAAAGACAAATTATTATCTTGGGGTAGAATATCTATATAATCTGTATCTATATCTATACCTATATCTGCCTGACACTTTTTCCTAAGTGATCATAAAATCTTTACATGACATTGTATAACAGCACCTCTAACAGCAGAGTGGCCCCATGACAAATCTGTCATGCTACTTCACTGAAATAATGCCCAATAAAAAGTTAGATCATCAATATTGTTTCCTGTATATAGCATTTAAGTTTCCCCTGGAGCTTTGATCCATGAACTGACCCAGTCTAATCCCACTTAGATTTGAGTTCAGAACATATGGAATAGGTGGCATGAAGTCAAATGCTCAGGAGATAGAAATGTTCTATTATCAATCCCAGAAAATAGACATGCTTCTTCCAACCCTCTCAAACAAAACTGCATTTTTCTCTGCAGGACTAGAAGCATTACGTAAAATATTTTGTGTTTCTTGAACCTCATTACTTAAAGTTATTTTATGCCCTATTACCTTAAGGTAGCTGATTATGATACAACTTCAGATAGTAACTCTTTCCAAATAAAAGGCAAAAAAGAAGTTCACAAAGAGAATGCAGCAAACCTAAATTTAGTATTCTTTCCTATGAAACTGGGTAATTTTTTTCCTTCAAAGGACAAAGCAATGGCTCCCTTCAACTCAGTAAGTCAACACATTTGCATAAGAGATACAGGGATCTCCATTGCTTGTAAATTACAAATTAGACATGAATATGCTCCCTTTTGATTCTGCTTTTGGTACCGTTTTTATTCTGTCCAGTTTTGGTTGTTTTAGTTTTGCTTTTTTTCATTCTGCACTGTAACTCAGAAAATCTAGATAAAACTTTTAAATAAAAATTTACCTCAGATTTGTCACGTAGGTATTCTCACTAAACTTTACTTCTGTGTGTAGCTCTGTGCTGGAAAGGTATCTCTTGTTCCAGAGTCATGCTGGTTGACTCAATAAATCATTCTCAGAAAATTCTCCATTATATCTTCTCACCAGAGTAGGCTCATCTGCAAGTGATTGACAACAACTCAGCATTCATTTGGGTTTTTTGATTTATTTAAATACATTCATTATTGCTCCAATACCACAATGATGTGTATTAAAAATAGATGATACATAGCTAATCCTAGCAGTTCCATAAAATTGTAAATTATTATGTGGTAACTTTGCTGCAATGAATAGTCACATAATGCATTCATTGTACCATTTGGAGACACTGTGGAAAGATAGTTCAATGTCCACCTCGTAAAAGGGGTGTGCTTGAGTGTGGTAAAGACAGGGCTAAAGGAGGGTGAGAGTGCTATTTGTAATGGAACAGGGCTATCCAATCATCTCACTGCCACCCTGTTAGACCAACCTGTCAATCAATCATTCATTTAATAATCACCCATAGAAATCACCCTAAACCCAGGTTATTTAGCACTTTATGCCCATTTAAAGCACAGTTATGACCTTGCATTTAGCTTCAGTTATGCAAAATATGTATACTACATTTTGCATACAAATAGCAAAGGCAGGAAGTTAATCATGCTATTTCTAAAACAAAACAACCCTAATGTTAAGTGAATGGCTTTTCTGCCATGGTTCAGCCAGGTAATGAAACATGTGCCTGAATTTAAGCACATGAATCACTCTATTGATTCAAAAGCACTCTGCAAGTGCCTAGAGTTCAGGGTGCATTTGAGTTGTCTCCATCAGTTACAAGAATGCACAGAAAGATGTTTGTCAGGTGCATTTCAGGACTGTTTTTATACAAGGACAACAGCAGTGAAAATGACAAAATAATTAAAAAAAAAAAAAAGGGGGTAGGTCAAGAAAAGGAAGATACCAAGAGAAGTGTGGCATGTTGGTTCTGTCTCGCTCTGATGTGAGCCCTTTGGAAAGGTCCACAGTGCTGCCCTGGGACCTAGGTATCAGCAACCTTTCCTAACCTTGCCTTTTGCCTCACTCTCAGATGCCCTTTGCTGCGTACTGGATCTGCAGTGGTACCTCACTTTTGGTACCTTCTTCATACAAGCTTGCTTGACTGTGGGTCCACAAACCCCCATAGCAACACTCCCCAGGGTAGGGGAACAGTGTGAGCAGATAATTGTGCAACTTGCTGTAACTCGCTGCTGGCTGGTGAGTGCAAAACAGCACATTAAAATGCACATGTAAAATAATCATTCCTTAATATATGTTTTAGACAAGATGGGATAATATGTATAATAGGTATAGGCATATTATCATATTATAATATGATAATATGTATAGGCATATGTAATACAGAGACTTCTAATGCAATCCTGTTTAACAAAAGAACTAATTTTTACTGTGGCTGAGGGAAGATGAGGAGTTTCTTTAAAGTAAATAGCAGAACCTTTGGTACAAAAAAGACAAGTCTGAACACTAAAAGCCAAAACTTGGGTCTAAAGAAGATGACCCAGCTCCCACAAACTTCTTCAGAGGCAAAAAGGCACTTTTAAGAGCACAGGATTTAACCCAGGCATGAGCAAACACAAGGCAATGGAGCACGCAGGCATCACTGGTGAGTGGGCAAACAAAAGAAAGCCTCCAGAGCAAAACAAGTTTTAATTTGCTATTTGTAGGCAAAAGGGGGATAAGGGATTTAACTGGTTTATAAGTGTTAATGCAGAGAACAAAGGAGAATAGCAGACTAAAATTTGAGAGCTTTTTGAGATCCAGATGAAGTGGGAGAAAGATTCTGGGGGGGTGAAACAGAAGGGATTGGTGAAGACAAGAGGATAAACAAACTGGTCTATGAAGTACATGGGATACAGAGCTGAGTAAGTCACTTGTGACACATTGGAAGCCATGAAACTATTTAAAGTCAGAGGAGTACTAAAATTTATAAATAAGGGACATATCTAACCAATATTTCCATATCTCTGTTAACTGGTCTCACACTCCTGTATCTCCCAGGCTGCAAGGATACTAAATAGTTAATGCTCTGAATAAAACATCTCTCCAGCCCACTTGTGATCAGTATGCGCTGAAATGCTCCTGCTCAGACAATCCCTTTGACCTGAGGAACATATAGTGCATTTATTAGCTCTCTGTGCTACTGTCCAGGGTAGAAAGGGTTCAGCTCCTTCTAGTTTAGGCAATGTGGTGCTTCCTACTCTCCACTGCCTGACCTCAAACCCTATGCTAACAAGCTTTCCCGTTTTCCACTGTTAACAGTGATCTTGGAGAAAAAAAAAATAAAAATTACAAGACTGTAGAAGAGAAGAAATCCAACAAAAAATAAGCAAATAAGCAGATCATGAAAAGTGCAAGCAACTTTAGAGGGATTTGGGGGTACCAGCAACCTCATTATTTGCTCCAGAGCACCATAAGGAAATAACACCAGCTTCTTGTGTGAGAGGAAGTCTTCCATTAAAGCAAAGGGAATGCTGTTTTGCTGAACAGCACAAACCAACACAACAATAGTGTTTACAAAGAACTTCAGATGCTTTACAATAAATCTGGATGTGCTTAAAAATCCCATAAGGGTTTTAAAAAAATCTGAATGTGTTTTCTCAAGTAACTATTTAAAGCATATTAGAGTTTATTTAATTGCATTGGGATTTTTCAAAGCATATCAGGGCAAAACAGTAGAGTATAGGCCCCAATATGCTAATTAATAGCTAGCTAGACCCCTGAAATAAACCTGCTACACTTCATTAATCAGACGGTAATTGAATTGGCACAGTACTTCTGTGCAAACTATATGTAGATTGAGCTACCAGTCCTGCCAATGGAGAGGGTACCTTCCTCCACACAAGTATGTTTTTGGACAATGCACTAACATTTTTTCTGTGAGCAGTTGGCCTCAATGATACCTTTCTACATGGAAGAATCTCATATTACTGAACTCATATTATTGAACAGATTACTGAATTATTGCTCATACTGAGATGTTTTTAGGTAGGTACTTTTCAATGACCACAAGTTCAGCTTAGGACAAAAGAACAAATCGGAACTGAAACACTTTGCTTTGTCATCTAAAAGCATCTGCCTATTAATTTTATTAGAAAATAATAGTGTTGACAGATGTTTCATTCACATTTATTTTCCACTCTATGAAAGCTATCAACCTGGGGATTGAACTGGCAAATAGTAACTACTTTGCTTACAGAAAATAAAACAAGAAATTTTCCATCAGACATCATGAAGTGGAATTTTGAATTCCTTGTCTGTAGTCAGAGCTGATAAAAGACTTAACTGGATGAAAAGGAAATGGACAGAAAAAATTTTTTAAATTTATAACTTTTTAAAATGAAATAGCTACTGAACAGTCCTTCAACTTTAGAAAAGAGAACACATATTTGTGTATGACCTTGGGCAAGTCACTTTGGACCAAGGTACTTTTCAGGGTAATTGGCAGAAGCTGAAAGCTAGATGCCAGAGGCAGCTTCAACAGCACTGAGCTGTTTAATTCCAGTTTAAATCAGCGGCAGTCAAGCATCTAGCATTTCTGAAAGTTCAGAGATCTGTATCTATGGGTCCCACCTCCAATCTGCTATTGCTTGCCTGTCTTCCCTGCCATCAACTTCTGTAGGACTGTCCACAGGCTTCAAGTCGGACATCCATTTGAACATATTACTGAACTAGATCCTTAGCATTTGGAAGCTTTGAAATTTTCAGTATCTTCTGTTAATTCGCAAATGGTGTCACATCTACCTACCTACCTACCTACATTTCATTAATCTCTGGAGGTGTGCAGCCATTTTTATATTCAGGAAAAAGACACCTTTTGATTTCAAGCAAGCGCGCCAAGTTTCAGCAATAAACTGAGACTTTTAAGTATGCAAGTGAAAATGACTCTGGATAATCAAAACACTTGAATATTCTTAATTAACTATAAGAATTACAATGCATACCAGCTACAATGTGCCTCTGTGTGTGTGCATGTGCACATGCATGACCACTGCATGTATGTCAGAGGGTCAATACACTCAATTCCTATGGTAAAATAAACTAATTTGCAGAAGAGACGAATGGGATTAATTTTAAGATATAGTTGTTTTAATATATGTCCATCAAGACAACAATAACAAATTAACATCATGTTTAAGGGGAGAAACAGCTGTGATAGTCATATTGTTTATCAGAGGAAGATGCAGTTCTTTGATCTAAGAAAAGCAAAGGAAAGAAACAGTTTAAACCAATGTGGTATTTTGAACTTCCATGCCTATTGAGGGAAATACTATCCTTAGAGTTGGCTTGTTAGCAAATACTAGTGTAACACTTTGGGGAATATATTCTCCAGCTATCTTATTTCTTCTAATCATTGTCCCCTTTCACTGGAGAATTTCACATTATTCAGCAACATATGGACCAAACATTTCTCCAGTAATCATCTCTGAACAAAGTAATCATTCCCTCATTAACCAATTATTCCTCAGAATCAAATGAAACAGACATATTTGCTAAGACAATTTCCTTTAATAAACCCTATGGAACCATACCATGTGAATACCCTATCCAAGTAGTTTAACTCAAAGATCACAGTGTAGATGACAAAGAGTGATTCTTGTTTTATGCTGTCAATAAGTGATCTCAGCAGCAAGGTTAGGGATAAAATTAATATCAGATTAAAGAAAAAAACCAGTGTTTTCAAAGGGCAGTAATCTTTGGCTAAAAAATTAACCTTCTGTATTCCCTGCTATGTCTTTTCTGTATGCTTAAAGGTTAGTGTAGAATCCTGTTCATTCCAAAGGAGATTGAAGTACAAGTGGAAAGACAGCTCCAAAAAGGCCACTAGTCTATGTGATACTCAAAACACACACAGAAACACGATGGAAAAAAATGTTTCAGTGTTGGACAAAAAACCGTACCTTCAAAATATGTGGGAGTCCAGAAAGAACACAGGCAAACTGTATCTGATGAGTCTTTAAAATCTTCTGGCTGTTTGGATTTCT